CCCCAAAACCCCAAAACCCCAAAACCCCAAAACCCCAAAACCCCTCAGCAATAAGTTTTTATTGAATTTTAATCATAAAAATACTTTATATTTCCATTCAGAAAATGGAGAATAAATACCAGAAGGTACAATCAGAGAAGGAACTAAGAGAGAGATGTAAAATACAGTTACCAGATTTCTTCCTGCATCCTAAAAACTTTAAGAATGATATCCGGGACTTATTCGGTAAGATTATCATAATGTTTTGACTCATGAATTCTGCCCTCAATTACCAGTTTCATACAAATACCAGGATTATTAGAAACTAGGCTAGATTTTAGCACATAAGATTCCAAAATATTAATCATAGATTTTTGCTTATGATCCAAGAGATGGCACTTCATAAATCTGATAGACCTCAGCACTAAAATTCTTATTATAGGTTCCAGATACGAGAGCTTGGCCGCTAAGGGCTCTTTAGAGTACAACAGCGTCAAATAAAGCTTATATCAGCTCTATGAATAAACAATATAACCGTAACTTAAGAAATGAAAAGAGAAATCGTAATGTATCTCCTCGTATTTTCACCAAGAAGCTTGAGCTGGTAGATGGGGATCTTGATCACAAGGAATTCCTCAAGAGGAAAAACTTGAGGAAAAGTGTGATGACCTCTCGGAATGACATGATGAGTTCTAAACTTTCCTTGAAGAAATTCGTTGTTCATGCCTTACGCAAATAAATGTAATAGAAATATTGGAAAGAATGATCTCAATATTCCAAGTTATCTCGTTGAGGAGATCAAGAAGTCTCACCAGAGATACATGACAACAATGTCGGATAAGAGGAATCCTAATGTAAGCTGGTTTGTATTACTCTGTAGACTAAAAGATTTGATACCAATACTAACTTCTCTCCAAGAGATACGGCCAGACACTCAAAGAATTTTCAAATTAGGTAACATTTCGCAAAGTTTGTTCTTATGATATCAGAAAGCCAACGCCAAATTTCAAGAAAACTCCAAAGTCATTAATGTCTTATCAGAAGAATCAGGATATTTTGAACAAATTGATATCCTCAACTGAGGCTTCTGATAGTAAATTCTATGCTCCAAAGACTCCAAATGGAGGCAATGGATTCAGGACAGAAAGCTTAAATGACTTTGATTCAAAAATAAGGCCTCCACAATCATCAAGTTGTAGAAAATTGTAACTTTTCTCCCTAAATTATAGCCCAAGCAACTCTGAATTAGGGTTTGTATCACGAATAGACCAGATCTCTAACAAGATTTCCACAAAATATGGCCTAAAAGTAGTGATTATTCTGCTGAAACATTTCTATAGAGGTACAATCCAAGGGCAAAACAGAACATAGATTTGCGGAGTGACGTAAAGTTCGAAAAAGGTAAGCACCCGGTGAGACTCTATAGCCCTGAAAGATATGATAAAGAAGGGGAATGTGGCCAGCCAGAAGAACACAAGGGCTGAGAAGTCCAATGACTTCTTCTCAGTCAAAGTTATGAGCTGCTATATTAACAATTTGCTTAAGATTAAGAAATAATTTATACAGATAAATGACACTCTTAAGAAGGCAACTGAGCAGAAGTGGGGATTTGAGATTGATACAAGAAATTTTGACGATTTGGGAGTAACAAAGTGTAGATGGGTATCAGAAGCTGGAATTGGGCTCTTAGGAAGAATATTTCTATGATTTGTATTTCCTATCGATATAAAAACAACTTGATTTATTATGAGCTTCTGTAAGTTATAGTTTACCTCGCCAATCGAGTATCAACCCTCTTTGTTGATGTAAGCCTAGTCTAGTTTAAGTTCACTCATTCTTATGAGTAAGCTAAGAAAGTTCCCTACTTCATATATCTGTTCATAGTTATATAATCGAATTATTTCAATTTAAGTTCTATTCTGCGGGGTTTTGGGGTTTTGGGGTTTTGGGG